AGGGTCTCTTCTACCATCTGATGAAGTGCCAAAATTCCTTCAGTTATATATTTACGATACAGAATTCGAAACAGAAAACAGACTTTCACTAATACCTAAACTCCGTCGAGACACTTTAGAATTCATTAAATCATTGTTAAACGAATTAAACCCTTTCATAGCTAATTTTCGCTCAATTTCTTCTAATTATAATATATCCAATCTTTGTTTAGTTATCAAGGCTAACCATAACTTAGATCAACGTGTCTATAATAAACCAACAGCTTCACAAGTCGCTGCTGTATGGGTAGAAGGCAATGACCACATAAATTGCACCGAACGTGATATAACAGTACAATCACGTTCACAAAACTTACAAAGAATATCTGAATTAAGCGGTTCGTATGACCCTATGCAATATCCGCTTCTTTTTCCTCAAGGCGATTATGGTTGGCATCCAAACATACTTCGAAATATGTCTGATGAAAAAGTAACTGCTAAACAATATTACGCTTACAAACTACACTTCCGAGAACCTTCCTCGACCTTACTTTTTCTTGGTGGTCGACTTTTCCAACAATATATCGTTGATAATTATGTTAAAATAGAATCTGCACGTCTCAATTATTTGCGGTTTACACAGCATAAAATCCGCAAAGAGCATTACCAAGGTTTATAAGACTCATTTCAATCAGGGTTAACAAATGCATCGGAAACAGGACGACATGTTCTTTTACCTTCATCTTTTATTGCTGGTCTCCGCGATATGTATCAAAGGTATCAAGACACAATGACATTAGTACAAACTTACGGAAAACCTGATGTATTTATAACTATTACATGCAACCCTCGATGGCCCGAGATCACATCGGAACTAATGCCAATGCCAACTCCACAAGATAGACCAGACCTTACAGGTAAGAACTTAATTTAACATAAAAAAATCAAACATTAATAAAAACTATATTTAAAAATAATATCCAATACAACCTTTTATTTAAAAAAAAAAAAAACTAAATATAAATCATACAATAATAATAAATTTACCTCTAAAACTTTATTTATACTTCAGAAAAAATCATAATATTTTATACTTATATAATTAAAAAAAGTCCCTTTATATTTATTTATTATTTATACTTAATTTAATATCCTATCAAAAATAGATAAACTATCAATCATATTAAAACCTTTAATTAAAAAAATACCAACTTATTTATTTATTCAAAATTAAATTATACTTCAAAAAAAAAAAAAAAA